GGTTCTGCTATCATAGACACGAATTCCTTTATTTTTCCAGGTTCTTTGTTCATATCTCTTAATCCGTTCCACAGCTGTTGAGCATGTAAGCCTCTCGTCTCAGAGTTTCTTGTCCCTTGATATTCGTAACGGGGTGTAACGTGAATCGGCCGCTCTTGTTTCTTTGGCATGCTCCATTGTGTTGATAACATATTTGTTTTATTTTTTTGAGTTCCACGTATTTCTTTAGTTTCTCTTAAGCTTCGCTCGATGATTTGTTCGCCAGAGAGAGGGTCCATTTCTTTATTTATACGTCCTGTGTTTGCGTTTGTGTCACAGAATATATCCCTTTGATCCCTTATCGTCGGTAACGGATTTCGGCTGGTCTCTGTGTTTGACTCATGTGGCACGTTCACTTCCTCTGCTCTTTTTAGTTTTGCTTTTATCTTTGAAAATAAACTCATGACTATCGCTTTTGTTTCTTCGTCCAGGGCGTCTAGTTTCTCGCACCCCTTGGGTTCCAGCTTCAATTCCAACATTCGTTCCGTCATATTTTCTTTTTTTTGTTTACTATTGGGCTCTGGCCTGTACAAGTCTGCTGTCATATTTTTACTTGGGCCCTCGCAAACACTCTCTAACTCATGGATAATGTCACGTAGATGAATCATTTTTTCCCTTTTATTTTCTTTTTCTTTTTTTTCCTCTTTTATATATGTATTTCTATGTGTCGTATCCTTCTTTTTAGTTCTGATAAGGTGTATTTATTCTCCTAGCAACGGGGCTGCGTTTTATTACCTGTGTCGCAGCTTAACAATAATCGGGTGGAAAGAGTAGTGACAGGTGAGATAAGAAAATAAAAAAGTAGCGTTCGTCTTTCACTAGCTCTCTTTAATTTTGTGCTCTTTCTTTGTTGAGTGATAAATAAGGAGAAATATTATTTTGGGAATATCTGTTGTCTGTTTTTGTTAATAAGAATTATAATAATGAAATTAGTGGCATATATGGGTGCGGGTTATTATTTTATATTATTAATTTCGAACATTTCCTATATCTGTGGAAGCCTACTTATAAATTCCCTCTGTTTTATGTTTGATATGCCCAAATTTTCCTAATATGCTGTTTATTTAAGTCTGTTGTCTCGCACGATTTCTCTTTGGGTTCTAAGAGTGGAAAAAATGCCAAACACGGGGAGCGGACGTAATAATAAATATAAATCCAGAAAAAACAATTTTCTACGACCTTATTTTCGCCTAATATTAATGTTATTCTCCCTCTTTTGCCCGAGGAGTGAGGTATAAAATTGATTTTATTATAAATGGACTTACATTCTCGTTGATATGCACACCAGTAGAAATAAGATTCTGAAAATCATCTCTTTTCAGCGCTCACCGCTTGTCTCCTTGATCCTTGATCCTGTGATTATCAGCAGTTGGTGTCCTAGTCCTGTTTTCCTGTTGGTTGATGTCACCGTCGCTTGCAGAATATGACTGCCCCTGTCCTTTTTGATCGGTTTCTCGGCTCCTCGATTTTTAATTGTTGTATTCTCGCGGCACTGCACTATGTGTACTTCTCGGCGTGCAAAAAAAATTTTGACTCTTACCACACCCCACACTTTGCACCAAAACTGTTACGAGGGAAAACCCAAAGGTAAGGAGGTGCTTCGCGAGAACGATCAAAAACCTTGGAACCTTAAAGATTTTTATTTAAGATACTTATTTATAAGGCAAAGACGCGTGTGTGTTCCCGATTAATTGCCCGATCTCTCCGAGTGTTCTCTTCGTTCTCCCTGTCTGTCCGAGTCTTCTCTTCGTTCTCCCGATTTTGAAGCTTGCCGCGCCTTATATTGCCTCGTTCACCTCCCGTCGGTACCCTCTTGATAAGGTAGCTTCGTGATCACCAGGGGGAGTTAGCATGATATGCCTAGCATATCGTACGTAACAATATCAACTGTATGAGTCCAGACATTTAGCCAGACAATATGCCAGTCATATAGCTAGACATTTAGCCACATTTTTAGCCGTACATTTAGCTGTTCATTCAGCCCCACATTGAGCCATACTTTGTACTATACCTTAAGTTATACTTTAAGCCATACATTTAGCCATATTTTGAGACATACGTTAAGCCATACGTTTAGCCACACATCGTGTTATACTTAGAGTTATTCTTTTAGCCATTTTGTTGTAGACATAGTTTGAGCCATACTTTAAGCCATACTTTTGGCAGTACGTTCAGCCACCATTGAGCCATACATTGTGTCAAACGATGAGCTATACTTGAAGCCATACATTAAGTCAGACATTGTGCCATTGTGTGAGCCATACATTCAGCCAGACACTGAGCCATACATTCAGAGAGACATTAAACTATAATTCAAGCCATACTCTGAGCCATGGCTTTAGCAGTACTTTAAGCCAGTTTCTTAGCATTACACTTTGTATAAAACATCACGGTGAAAAAAATTCAAAAAATACACTAACAAAGCTGATTGACATTCGGATCCCGATGCCAAAACTCACAGATACTGCAGCAAAAAAAGTATTTTCATGTAGAAATAACCAATACCATTAAATATCTATCTTGAGGAACAACTTAATTTTTTTTAAAAATTGTTTAAAAAATTCGTGAATTAAGAAAAATTGTTTTTTTTTTTTTAATTGCGGAAAAAGAATAGATCGTACGAAAAAAAAATTTGCATGTAAAATGTAACTGTTGAAAAGATCCGTAGGAAAAAAAGAATGTAAAAGTTATTCCACATATTTAAAAAGTTAAATCTAACCAGTTTTTCAAATACGTTTTTAAATTATACAACTTGTGAAAATTAAAATAATAAGAATTACAGTTGATTAAGTAATTTTTTTAAGAAGAGAATGCAATTAAAGTTATAAGTGTAATTTGTTTAAAAAAAAAATAAAAGCCATTTTGTGGAAGCATCTTTGTTGTAAGCAAATGACTTTTCGCAATAACTATTTATTATCCTGACTTGAAATTCGAAGCATTTAATAATGCCATCAAGATACAAAACTATTATTTGTATTAAAAATGTTTGGTTGAATTGTTGTTACCAATCAAAAAAAATCCGATTTTTAGTAGTTTTTTAACTTTACGGACGAACGAAATGACATATTGCAATTAATTTTTTGTTTTGTAGGTTTTTTTAAGGAGGCTTGGGCGTTTGGTGTCGTATCTATTGAGGGACCCCTGTGGGGTACTTGTCATACAGATGATTCTTTGTAATATTTTTTTTATAATTATTTTGATTATACACATGTGTGAACAAAATAGCAATAATACGCGGAAAAGTCATTGTTGCTTTTATCTTTGAAAATAAACTCATGACTATCGCTTTTGTTTCTTCGTCCAGGGCATCTAGTTTCTCGCACCCCTCGGGTTCCAGCTCCAATTCCAACATTCGTTCCGTCATATTTTCCTTTTTTTGTATACTATTGGGCTCTGGCCTGTGCAAGTCTGCCGTCATATTATTACTTGGGCCTTCGCTATCACTCTCTGACTCATGGATATTGTCGCGTAGATGAATCATTTTTTTTTCTTTTTTATTTTATTTTTCTTTTTTTTTT